TATGTGTTTCATATATATATATATATATATATATATATATATATATATATATATATATATATATAGTTTAACTTCTGTACATCTTTTTCTTATCATCAGGTCATCCAAATAAGAACTATGAATGAGAAGAGAAAGGCATTTTCTTCTCTTATAAGATCTAATCAGAATTAACAAGCAAATGTGCTGAAAAAAAATTGTAATTCTCACTTAGAATTCTGTTTGGTTAATGCTTAAATTGATGTTTAAATCACTCTGTCCCGCTGTTTTCAGCAGGAGATTTTGCCAGATGTGCAGAACACATCTTGCCTTCCGAACTAATAAGAGTAAGGAGTCATTACGTCTTGAAAAAAAATAAACACTGAATGCACAGAAAACAAGCATATTTTGCAGTCTTTCTTTCATGACTGATCAAATGGTGCTATTAACCCTAAGTTTGTACTTACAATGTTTCCTTCTATTCGGTAATAGAGACTGCTGTTTCATTCTCAGCACGGTCATACAGAAGTACTCTAAACATTCTCACTGCACATGCAGCCCATAAAGCTGTAGATTTCTAACATAGTTATCTTGACAACCTGCTCTGGTCTCAAATTTTTCCCATATATGACAATGAATATGTGTCTGTTTCCTGATGCTAAGGATGTATTCCTATGTTTCATCTCAGTGACACCAAATAGAATTAAGGGTGTTGCTCAAACTTTAGGTATCAATTAATGCAAACAGCTTATCACATAGGTGCTTGCTCTTCACTGGAAATATTCTGCCTTTCTGAAAATGGCTTGCATCAAGTGATGTGGAGTTACCACTTAAAGGACCTTCCTCTACTCTCATCCCTGCACAGGCCAACTTTGCCCCTAATGGATACTACTCTGGGGCAAGGAGCTCAGAACTATTCATTAACCCACGTACCCAGAGAAGGTGCCTAAGAGTTATGGTTGATTCCATAGTTGGGGCAGCAATTAGAAGACTGGGGTAGGTGATGAGCCTGAATGAACTTGCCAGGCTTTAAGTGAAGGATGAAAGGAGGCAAAGAGAGAGAGGAGGGAGAAATGCTGAGACATGCTGCTTGTCACAAACATGAAGAGGATTCCAATAGCCAAATATGAGACACCTTTGACCACCAAAACATTTAAATAAAATCATAAACTATAAAACACCTAAATTACTCAAATATTATTAATTAATAGCTTGGAAATAAATTAAAACATCATATACCTAAATTAAACAGACCCCAAATCGGTATGACTTAATGAACTTGTGAACAATTAGAATTGGCATCTGAATTGGAAGCAGTGTAGTTTCGCATCAACTTTGACCCTTTCTGAATCGAATATATCTGTTGTATTTATCCACTGCCAAGGCAAAAATAATCCATGAAAGAATTAGAACTAGAAAATCAATTAGTTTTATGGCCTCCTCCATGACTCATATACATTACCTGTACCCAGTCCTTCCGCATCCCTTTATATTTAGCTTTCTGTGGTTCTCTTTTCCGCATATGGCACAGTAGTCATGTGTACATTTGTTTACATATACTATTGGCTAGATTCCACATCAGAGAGACAACATGTAGTTCACTTCTATATGAGATTGTATGAACTTGATTAAAATTGCACATTCTAAGTCCATTCATTTTCCTCCAAACTCTTTAACTTCATTCTTCTTTAGAGCTAAATAATATTCCATTAAATATATATTTATATGTAAGTGTGTTTATATATACTGAATTTTCAGAACTCTATTAATGGACAGCAAGGTTAGTTTCTACATATAGAAAATATAGAAATTTAAAAGATAAACAAAGGATGTCTAGTCATAAAAATACATATCATATGTTAAATTATATATATTACTAAATTCTCTGTCAAATGTTAACCTTGACTTGTTATTTACAAGAAGAGGTCCAGTTTTTCTTTCACTAAGTCATTCACATTGTTTTTTTTAACTTTATTGCACAGATACTGTTGTTATATCTATGAAGAGTAATAAGTATTCAGAGATTTGAAAGCAAACCCTAATTCTGTAAATGGCAATCTGCATGGTTTAGAAAAGTTTTCTAAACTATTTAAAACTTTGTTTCTTATTATTAAAACACAAACAGACTTCAATGTTTGTGTGGCATTGTCTGTGGCAGAAGGTAATGTTCTCATCTGTTGTTAATTCAAGATTTGCATGCATTCACCTTTTCACAATTCTGGGGCAGGATATACCTTGAAATTGGTGACATTTTGTTTTACTAAAATATGGTTTTGCCTGGTGGTGGTGGTGCATGCCTTTAATCCCAGGACTAAGGAGGCAGAAGCAGGTGAATCTCTGTGAGTTTGAAGCCAGCCTGGTCTACAAGAGCTGGTTCCAGGTCAGACTTCAAAGAAACTCTGTCTCGAAAAACCAATATATATATATATATATGTATATATATATATATATATATATATACAGAGACAGATAGATAGATAGATAGATAGATGTATAAATGTGATTATCTCACAGTGCATTGATGAAACAACATATTAAGCATATTTTCTCTATTCATGAAACAAATTAGAATTACATAAAGCAACGAATGTAAATCTCTGAAAGTAAGACTTTCCATGAACTGTTTTTTTGATATCACTCTAACTGCATTTTTAATGCCTCTAGGTGTATATAAATGAATTGCTGAATTGCACTGAATCTGGAAGATGACAAATGAAGCAGTAGAGAGACAGTTCTCCCTTGCACAGGCACCGTCCTGCCCTCCACATGTGCTAGGACACTCAATCCTTCATGCCTCACTGATCCCAATGTCCTTCTCCAGGTAGGCAGCAGTGGAAGAAGAAGAAGGCTAAAGAAGCTGAGGACTGCCCAAGGTCAGCCAGCAAGTGCAGAGCTGCACTCTCAGAAACTGAGACCGGGGAACACTCCTGCCTAAGATTTACTCCCCCATGTGGTCAAAAATGCTTTTAAGCCTCTCTAGATGGAACCTCCCCAACTCATGATAGCCTGAATCTGTAGCCCACAATGAACTGTTAGAAAAGTCTATCAATTTGTGCTTTCTGTCTTTTAAATTTGTGTGATCACTAAACAAAGTAATATACCCTCTGGACACAAATATATGAAGTCTAACTTTTCATACGTTTCTTGACAATAGAAGAAAGTCCAAAAAAATCCATGGACAGCAAACCCCATAAGCAAGGTCTTTGCCATCTTGAACTTTGGTTTGTTTTTGTTTGGAAGAGGTTTTTGTTTGTTTGTTTTGTTTTTAACTTAATATAGTGCTTCTCTGTATAACTTAGTTGGCCTGAAATTCACAGTTATCCTCCTGCCTCCCAAGTTCTGAATTACAGGAGAGTGCTTTTCCATATCTAGCTTTGGGGTTGTATCTTAAGTGAACTCTCTTAACAAGGTTAGTGTGTGGAACTTTTATCTTGTGGATCACTTGATTCTGTAGCTCTCAAAATATTCTTACTTCTAGTCCCATTAGACTCCTGTCATTTCAAGCTTTATTTTTCACTTTTTTGTGTTCCTCACGAGACCTCCACATCAGCAACACTGGAACCCTTTGCAGAATCTGTGTATTTTCATTACCTGCTTTTTTGAGCCATCTTTCTTAAAACAGGCTTCATCATGAAATAATTACTCGTTTTGAAAAAAAAGTTATTGGATATCTTTTCATCTTCACAGAATGAGAATGCAAATATAATTATGCAGAAAGCCAATAGGGACGTATAAAAGTATTCTTTTAAGTTTCATTTTTTTTACCATATGTGGCACAAATACTAATTGCTTAAAGATTTTCAAAAAGTTCTCCAGTCTTGTGCATTTCTCTGTGCCACAGTCAGGCGAGGCATTGGGTTTGGGGATGAGAGATGCTAGGTGGGACTTTTGCGAAATGGGAAACTCTCTTTAGGAAGGCTGGAGAACAAGAACTACCAGTTTGGCTATAGCCCTGGGCAGCAGGAGCAACCTCAAAGGACCACAGTGTTCGAGGGTGTAATCAGGCCTTACCCACTCACTGCACACTTCAAGAGCAAGACCTGACATTTCCTAATGTGTGAGAGAGATCTCTGTTCCAACAGTGAGCTATTATTGCACCCACGTTTCAAGGTGAGCAAATCATTAGTATTATGGGAGCCTGTAAGCTCACACAAACAACTAAATCATAATCTCGCAAACTAGATGGACAATAAGTCCAATGAGAGGCACTAAAGATTATACAGTTGACAAAACAGGAAGAACACCTAAACCCTGGACACCTAAACAGGACACACACAGACTGTGAGCTGTGATTAGCACGTTGTATTTACTGGGGAAGAGTTCAGAAATTGGTTTTATGAATGATGCCTGGGATTTAGAAGGGCAACCTTGCTAAAGACTATTTCAGGATGGAAGTATTCTAGAAGCACGGATGTTCGAGGGCACATGTGGATAGGTAGGACCACAGAGGTTAGACACACTCTGTGAAGCAGTTGAGGATCTATTGGTGGACAGAAAAGTCCTTGGGGAGCAGAGACCCACTTCTTATTGAACTTTCCTAAACAGAAGCATCCACCTCTGGGTTTGTTCTCATTTTGGGAATAGCGTTGAGAATAGCTACTTGCTGAAGTGTGCACAAGTTTCTGGCCTCGCAGCTCTGGGGCTTGTTGTCCTCTATGCCACAATGAAGGTCAAGACGAGTGAGTGAGAGACTGTAGGACAGATGTCGCCACCTAGAAATCCAGCTAAACTCACTCAGGATGTCATGGACTTAATGAAAGCCAGGCAGTGGCAGAGCACGGACTTACTGTCCTCAGTGTGCCCTAGACTTGTCGCTCTTCCCTTTCTAACACACCGTATTTGCATTTTGCATACAGGCTTGATCTCACAGCTGAGGCTCAATAATGCACTGGTCAGAGCACATCCCCAACCCCTGCCTGTTTACTGCTATCTCAAACATCTTTTTTTGTGTGATGAGCTTGGGAATACTGAAGGGAGAAGACTGGGGGAATTTCTGCCTACATCTCCCAAGCACTTCTAGTAAGCAGCTGAATCAGGCCCTGACTTAATGATGCATGTGGTCACCTGAGGCACCTTAGAGAAGGCCAGTCAGCCACCAAGGTTGGGCAATTTGAGGAGTGGCAGCCTCTATAATAGTAGCATTCTGATGATGGGATCAGCCAGAAATGAATGCACAGAAAGACTTCCAGAGGGCTGATGTCATTTAAGACGTCAGCTGCCCAAGTATTTAAAAAAAGGAAGAAAAAAAAAAAGAATGAAGTGAGAACTGCCTTGGTCTTCTCCTGGCACGGAGCCAAAATGTCTACGTGGCCCACAAAAGGAAATAGTGCTTCCTCAACTGCAGTGATGCTCCCTCTGTCAGGAGGCAGGGCTGCTGGAGTCAGGTGTCTTTGTTCCCTGTTTTAAAGCTGGCAAGGGCTGCCAGGTCTAGTTTCAGGACAGCTTCTTATAGATGACAGAGAACACACATGGACAGACCCGAAGAGGGCTGTCTCGGAGAAATTCGACAACCTGCGGTCCCATTGCTCAGCTACCAATTCAGCCATTTCTGTCTGACTTTGCTTCTAATTTCTCAAATATCTCTGGGGAAAAGGAGGTTTGCTGGTGAGAAACTATAAGCAACGCTGCTTGTAGTGAAACAGAAAAATGCTGAGAATCAAATAGAGTCATGTGCCTGAGAGTGATTCATGGTCTAGTCTCAAACCTTCTCATGGTGTTAACCAAGAGCCTTGTCATAGCACAGGTTCAGGTTCAGTTCATCTGGGATGGGGCCTGGGACTCTGCGTTTCCACCAGGCACCCCCAGATGTTGTGTTGTTTCGTGAAATGGGTCAGTGCGGCACAGTTTGAACATTTTGGTGTTAGAGTGTAAAGCGTCATATATTAAGTGGTTGGCAGTAACTTATTTAAGCAAGCTTTCAAGGGTGAATATCTTTAAGCTTTTTCATGAAACTCTGCCCTTCATGATTCTCTTTCCAACTCCCCACATTAATTAACATATCCAGTAATCATACGAATGTCCACGAAGCATCCTGAACCCTACTTCAAACTATAGCAACCAATTCATTGCGTAGAAAGCTCAAGTGGGGGGGGTGACTTTCTCCATTTTAGGTTTTACATAAAATATTTACACGATTTTCTCTGTGCATGGACGACTCAAGGACTGTGATAAAACAAAAGGCACTTGAAAAGAGGTAGCTTGCAAAGATGTAAGAAATAGTGGAGTCTTCTATAAAAAACATCTCATGAAGGTCATCATATATTATTTATATTCTATTTATTTTACTAATTTAGACATGTGCCTAGCACCCCACCTATATTTTTATTATTTCCAGGCCACTTTCATATACGATAATTAACTTACTTTTTTAAAATCATGCAGCCTGAGTAAGTATTATTTGTACTGTTATGTAGCTGACCAAATTGGAACGAGGTTGCTTGTAGTGAGTTGCTCAAAGTCACGCCAGTGTTGCCCTAAGATGAAATGGTCTGAACCCTAAGTCAGGAGTCTCTTATGTCTCCCGTCCACTGTGCTTAGAGCACAGAAGTTGCGCTGCGCTCTCCTGAGCCCTGGTTCTGAATAAAGGTCCCCAGGAGCAGGATTCAAAAGGCAGTAGAGATTACAGATCTGGCTGCTGCCAGGTGAAGGGAGAGGACGCTGCCCTCAGAAGTCTGCTCTTCAAATCAGATTAAAATCTACGCCAGCCCTGGGTTTTCTGATGACTCATTTGCTTGTTTCTCTTCTAGCCGAGAATACAATGTTCCATTCCTTCTGGAATGTTTACAGAAGAGAGCACCTGGGGAGTGGAGGACAACTTGACGGCTAGGATCATCAAACATGGGTGCTGGTGCTGGGATCATCAAACATGGGTGCTGGT